TTAAGGATTTTTCTGATACCTTCCCTACAAAAAAATGTTCTGCTCATGTACTTAGTCTTTTGATTCTTGAATAAAATCCACTTTTTTCTAAAAAAACAATAACTTTTATTTTGCGGCAGTCCTAAAACAGTAACTTTTAGGTTTCGTTAATGTACTTATGTTACTTGGAGATCAAGATTATCCTTTCCTTATCACTATAAATAAAGGCACAAAGAAGTGAGAAATCAGACAACACAATTCTCAAAGTCTCTCCACTCTCTCTGCCACCGGCCCTCTCCCTCTCTTTTCCCTCAGGTGAATAAGCTTACAATATGTTATCAACACACTCTGGTTACTACGCCAAGGAACTGAAGAATTTTGGACAATGATCTTCTACATCATTCGAAGGCTTTCATCGTTTCCATCTAATCCAAATTCTTCTAAAACACATAATCGATATTTTATAAGCCTTGATAACATGAAAACATTCCCCATAAATCTATGATGCATGAACACCAAATTTATAAGGTTACTATGTACATACAACAAGATTTTATTTCACTCTCTAAGTACAAAGGCTCATTTATCTAATTGTACGTAAAAGAAAAAAAGAATAAGACCTTGTGCAACGGAAATTAATTTAGTCTATTAAATAATATTTATCCGACGGAATGCAATTTCATCTCTTATTGTACATATAAAAATAAATAAATTATTTGTCTTGCGCGATGGAAAGAAATTTCGTCTATTAAGATAACTTGCCCAATGGAAGTCTGCAAGACTTCGGCGCCTAAAGTAGTTAGGGTTCAAGGTATTCATCGGGCAAGATTTGGGCAAGTATATTGGCATATCTCCACCAAGGATTTTTGGAGTAGGGAAAACTAATTTCCACAATTCAACTATCAATATAGTTAATATATACTATGAGATTTTGTACGCCAAAATTCACTAAAATAAAAATTTGAGCATTAGGTAACAAGACGAGTTCCTTCAATGGTTAGAAACTAAAATTAAATATTTTAGCTCTGAATTTTTTGAATTTTTACAACTACACTTACCGACCCTAGAATAAGACAATGAACAAACCTGATCATGATTTAAAAATACTTACAAACAAAATGGTACAATACACCTAATAGGGCTAAGGATTAAAACACTAAGTGTTGGTTGAATTGAATGCATTGTGGGGATTCGAACTCTGTGAAATTATTTTTGATGATTCTACCATCAAACTTGTTTGACTGTAACAAAAGATCGCATGCATAAAAAATCATCAAAAATAAACTTGCACGGCTAGAGATTGGTCTAAAAGGTTGGGACAATTACAAACTTAGCATCACGATTTAACGGCTATATTACTTTTTGATTTTGTTATTTGGAATTGTTTTATAATTTTTACTTATTGCCCAACGAAATGGTTGTTTCATAGGGCGGGAGGCAAAACAGTCATTGGGTAAGGTTGGAACTGTCGGCAAGCAAAGTTTCGAGTTTTCCCCCATTTTTTTTCACGAAAATCAAAATTCCCTCCAAAGGTTTGCCTGACGGTCTATGTGGTACAATTCGTCGGATTAAGGTGTTTCCCCACCCTTTTTTCTGCAAAAATTTTCACTTGTCAGTTTTTTTTTTTTATCTAAATTCTTACTCGATGGAATGTGTCGTCGAGCAATCCTCGAAATCTGACACGTGTAAAAAATTTAAATCCTTGTCCGACAAATGGTTTCGTCAGGCAAGGGCCTTTTCTCCTAAATCCATTTGCTGCAATTCATCATCTCCCTGCATCTCTCACTCTCTCCCCAAAATTCCTGCATTGCTAAAATTAACGGCTCCACTTTAGCTTTCACCTACAGTATCATCTCTCATAGTCCCAGAAAGGTATTAATACATTTATTTTCAATAATTAAAGTTGTGAAATCCGTAACTATAATGTGCGGTCTTAATTTATATTGTGAATTTGTTTTATATACTGTGGATTTGTTATTTATATTGTGAATGTGTTTTTTATTAGTATGTTTTAATATTTGACAGAATTTTGCTTGAAAAAATTGGGGATATTCTTAAGGAATGATATTGGGATGTTGGGGGGATTATTTTAGGGGTTGAAGAATGGGTGGGAGGGATTTTTCGGTGTACCCTCACTCATAATGGTGAGGGTGCACCAAAAAAATTTGGTGCACCCTCACTTTTTGTACACCAAAAAAATTCTAATGAGTGAGGGTACACCAAAAAAATTTGGTGTACCCGGTACACCTAAAAATTTTCCGAATGGGTGGGACGGCCGGCTTGGCGAGGGAAATGAGTGGCGAGAGAGACATGTTTGGATATGGGAGGGGTTTAGGGAGGGGTATGGGTGTGGGAGGAGGACGGGTGGGGAGGGGATGGGTTTGAGAGGGGCACGGTTGGGGAGGGGATGAGTGGGGAGGGGGACGGGGACGCGTTAGAGAGAGGGAAGGGTTGGGCGGGTTGGAGAGAGGGAAGAGTTAGAGTTGGTTTGGTACTGCTGTGCTTTGAAAAAAAGTTGCTTCTGCTGTGCTGTGAGAATAAGCGGCTGTGAAATAAAACAACAAAGTGTTTGGTAAACTTTTTTGTAAAAGTGCTTTTAAAAAAATAAAAATAAAAAAAAAACAGTATTATAGTGTTTGGTAAACTTTTATGTTAAATGGATGTGAAAAAAAAGCCAATTTTTCATAGCTGGGTTTTGTAGCTTCTTGTTTTTGGCTTTTTTCACCCAAAACTATGAAAAAAAGTTGAAGCTGAATGTTTACCAAACACAAAAACATCTCCCAATTTTTTTTTTATACTAGTTTTTTTCAGAATTACTTCAGTAACCAGGCCTTAGACGGGTTACTAGGATGACTGGTTGGGAATACGGGGATGGGGTGATGTGGTAAAGATTAATCTTAGGGAAACCTTGGCCAACGAGTAAAGGTTGAATATGGCCCAAGGGCGTCCGGCATCCCCACATGTTCATTCAATGTTTGCTCACATGGTAGGTCAACCGTCTTAACTGCCCTATAACTACCCATAAATGGAGTAACATCTCCCCGAAGTAAAGCAATCCCTAATGGTAGACTCTCGGTCACTGTTTTCTTAATTTCATATTATTACTAATTTTAATTATTATAGATATTTACTAAATTATTGTATTTTGATAACTACACTGGTTTTTTGTCTAGTCTAGACCAATTTCTATATCAACTTGGAAGACTCGGGTACAGTTGAATGCATTAAGTGGTTGTGGACTATGAGATTTAGAGCACCCAGTACAAGACATTTGCAAGTCATGAAGAAGCTTTGACCTATTTGTTAGAACTAATCAAATGTCAAGTATATAATATACAACAATTGCACAGTTTATTTCGAATAGAAATTTCACAAGGATACAATATATCTCATAATATAAACAATTAATAAAACTGAATAATAAATCACAAAACGCTGACTTGATTAGCAAGATAGAGGCTTGTAATAGCAATCTTCTAAGACAGAAATTTGCCCCTACAGCAGTGCAGTAGTTCAACGGACGTCTATCTTGCAGAATACAACTATCTAATTCAAGTTCTTGCACTCGAACTTGGATTCTTAGCGAATTGGTTGTGGTGTTTCTCTATGAAGTATGGAAAAAGAAGCCATGGAATTGTTATTCGGTTTCTAATCTTACGACCATATTTATAATGGCATAATTAAGCAATTAAAGTTGTTCATGTTTATCTTCAAGAACAGTTGTAACTGTTCACGTGAACAGTTTTATCCTTTCGGAAAAAATTGAATGCAAAAATTAAAAACGTAAAAATGATACTTGTGTTTTTCGTCCATCCAAGCCCAAGGCCAATCTTTGACATTTAATATACGCATCCAAACCCTCCAAGTCTAAGGCCCAAGATCCATGGCTTTAGCCCAATTTCTTTCAAATCATAAGTGTGGGAACACACTTATAAAGTGGATCTTCAAAAGAGGAATGGGCGATGTGGGACTAAAGATCCCACAAGTTCCAACACTATCCACCCCATGATTTTGTGAATAGAATGGACCAGTGGAAGTGGCTCTGTGATTATTTTCAAAATTTATAAATTCTAAAACAAGTGAAGCTATTTTTGTCATCCTGAATGATTTTTTATTTTATCTTCAACAATATTGTACGAATTGTGGAAACCTTTAAGGGAAGGGTTCCCTTTTTTTTTTCTTTTTTTTTTATAAAAATTGGATTAGTTGTAGGGTCCACACCACATCAAACTTTAACAATCCGAACTGTCTATTTTTCAAGTTGCACCTCATAGATCATCCTTGCAAATATTAGCTAAATTGGAAATGTTTAAGACATCTAATTGAGTTCAAAGAAATTAACGAATATTTTATTATATAAGAAACAAAGAAATTTTATCTTGATAATTAAATAGGCAAATGGTTTCGTATTGAATTAAATTTTTGCAAAGCTGATTTATGAATCGAGACTTTGAATTAAATTTTTGAAAGGCTAATTTATGAATCGAGACTTACAAAATAGACGTTCAAATCGTTAAAGTTTGATATGGAGTGGGCCCCATATTTAATCCCTATTTACGAATTGTTATTAGTTAAATAAACTTGTGTACCATTATGCTATTAATATAATAATTCTTAGTTAATTATTAAATTAAAAAGAATTATTTTTTTCATTTATTAGTTATCTTGCCCAACGACACTCTCCGTCGGCCAATGAGATCAAATAATTATTTTTCTTCAGTTAAGGGGTTACTGACCATACGAGTAAAGCGACGTCTATCGGGCCTCTGTAGTCAACCAACTAACATGACGGAGGTTTGTCACTTTGTCCACTTGACAAGACCTTTTTGCCTCGACAAATATTTGTATCTGTCGACAAAAATGTCTTACGACGGCTTTTGGGCCACGACTTCTACTCGATGGAGTTCCGCTGCTATATTTTTTGCGCGACGAACGTTGTCCTTAAGAGACGAATAAAATTCATCTCTTAAGTTGGGTTTTTTTTTTTTTTTTTTTTTTTTTTTTTTTTTTTTTTGTAATGGTTGGGTCTCGATCGTGTTCAAGTGGAATTAGATTCATACGTTCCCATTAACATAATTAATGTCAAAGCACAACCTTCTTGAAGAATTATGCATGTCAACCAAGATATCAATTTCCTCAAGTTTTTACAACTATCGTTCACACGTGTTTCGAAAAGCGAATATGGTAAATGGTGCAATGGCGGCAATCAAACAACATTATCATCATAATTGAACTTGGTTCTAACAATATTCTGGTAATAACGTTAAAAGATAGATGTACTATGATTATATGTTTGTAAAGGTCCATGGAGATTCCTCGCTGTAACTTCAGCTTGTTAAAAAACATTACCCAAAAAAAAAAAATGGTTAATCATTTTTTTATTATTTTTCTGTCACCTCTCACCATATACAGCAACATGAATGTTTTCGTATACAGCAATAGAAACCAACATCTGTCGCCATCCCCCCTTATGACCAAAAAAAAGGGTGTGCGTGCGTGGCATTATTTATATACAATAGTTTCTAGTAGGGGCGCTCGTCGTCCTGGTAAGAAGGATCGTAGTTGCAAATGACATAGTTTTGTCCATTCTTGCACTTTGAAATGCCACATCCAACATAAGTAGTTTTGCCCCATATCACACCAAGGTAGTGGCCACATTCATCTCGGACACATTTGTTTTGCTGGTAGTCATAGAATTCCCTCTCGGTGACCCAGTATTTGGTAGCGGCTGCACCGGTCATGCCATCACCGGAGGCCAAGTTCTCGCCGTAAGGCCCCATTGAGTGCTCCATTTGGCAGTCCTCGATTCTTTTGTCGGCATAAGCTTGAGCGTACTCGGCTATGGTCTCGTTCCATTTGAGCGGTCCATTGCCAACCTCGGCACGAGCTATGTTGTGTTCCCTGATGAAGCCATCGATCTCTTCTTTGGGTAGGATTGCGGCGACATGCGTCATGATGATTGCGATGGTGAAGAAGCCCAAAATAAGCTTGACGTTGAACGCCATTTTGTATCTCGATATGGGGTCGGTTTTGTTGTATAGTAGAGGACGTTGAATTGATAGCTGTTGGTTTGAAAGGAGGAATGCAGATAGGGTTATATTTATAGAGACAAAATAATAATAGGGTGTCAAAAATAGGCCTTAAGAAACGTGAGGTTGCATACATTTCGATTCTATATATAGATATAGCGGTATAGGACGGGTAAAAAAAGAGAGAACAGAATAGATTGACTTACACTAATTAAGAATTGACAAACTACTTAATATTACCATCTAGTGGTATTTATCTTTATTTGTAATTGAGAGATTTTAGGTTTGATTTTCACTAAAGACGAATCTGAACGAGATTAATATGCTACCCATCATCACCCCTGATGTAGATAATATCGACTGTATTAATTTTTTTATGAGAGTGACCAAAAAAAAAAAATTATGAGATTGGCAAACAATAGAAAAAATAGAATTTGGTTTGGCTCACTAAATTTTTTTTATCTTGCATGTTTTTTGGTTTCCTTTTGCCTGTCCGAAGTATTTTTCAAGTGGTTTACCTGGTTAAGGATTTTTCTGATACCTTCCCGTATAAAAATGTTCTGCTAATGTACTTATTCTGTTGCATAAAAACTCACCTATGTACAAACATCCAATAAAATTCTAAAATTTAAATAAATTACCACATAAAAAAAATAAGTAACTTAATAATATAAGATTTTTACAATTTATTCCACAACATCCTATAATTGTTCTCGTACACCCATTCTTAGCCAACTGTGCCAGCTCGTCTCGGATTTTTCGTACCGTAGGGGTAAAATGACGGTTTTGCCCCCAGTATTTTTGTTTCGTTGTGTGGTTATTTTGGGGTTTTGGACCACACACACATACTCACATGAAGGAAAATTTGTGAAAAACATGTTCATTTAAGCAACATCAATAGCATGCAATTAACATATTAAAGGCGGAATCATGCTTGTATGCACTTAAAACAAAACATTTACCCATGAAATTCAAAGCCTAGTAGATAGGTGAATCAAGACTCAACTCAAAAATAAAGTGAGTTGAGAAATCAATACCTTTGTAGATTCCTCTTTGCATAAGCAAAGGCTAATCACCCAAAGAGAGGGTCTTCATTCCTTGCATCTTGGATCCATGGATTTGGATGGATGAAAAGGTTTCTCCAAGTTCCCAAAATTGAGAACCTCTAAGTCTCCACACCAAGGTATATTGAAAGAAGAAATGAGTGACCTAGAGGAAGTAAGATTGCTAGATTTTCCCCTCTAGATTAGCCGAATTCTTTGAGAGCAAAGGGAGGTTTGTGTTCTCATCTTTACTCCCTAGAAAACCCTAAGGATGAAATGGCTATAAAGATGTCTTTATACCACCTCACAATGGAGTGGCAAACTTGCAATTAAGCCAAGTTCACTACCCTCCTCTAAATGGCCGGCCTATGGGGATTAATTGGGCTATTTGGGCCTTTGTGAATCATTATTCATTAAGTTGTCATACAACTTAAGTCAATGGGCTTGACGTTCGAAGCCCATTGGGCCTTAAGGTCCAAAACTATCCCGAGGTCTTCAACGAACTTATTCGTTTGATTAATAATCATATTAATTAATCCTTGCCATAAATAATTAAACCATTTAATTATTCTTACTCATCTCCGTTGAATCTTCAAACTCTACCTTACACGGTGTACGATCCATTAGGTTCCTTTTAGCGAGGCAGTGGGCGATTCAAACTCTTTCAAATCGATTGTGAATTGAAACTTACTTTCAATTCTCCCGTTAGTGATAATACACTTTTAGGGCTTCCACAAACCATGAGTGACACCTAGCAGCATATCATGGTTACCCAAGCTAATCAGAAGAGGTGGAGAACCTATTCAGTTTAGGATTACAAATGCAATACGGTCTTTCTCTAATACAATACTCTTGACCACATTGTTTGGTTTGATAGTTTATTCATGTCTACTATCCAATGTGAATCTTGTGCTTATATGATTACCTTGAATGTGATCTGGAACGCATTCCAACATCTCATTCATACTCTGGCCAGAGATTCCAAATCATATCATAGAGTATTCTCCCTCAAACAGTTTGAAGGTTAGAGATCCCTTGTTGCGCATTCACTTGCCTCCATGGCTAAGTGGCTTAACCCCAACGATGCCGTGGACACCCTGATAGAGTGACGTTGACATAATCAAAGATTAAGGACCTAACCACAAGACAACTGTGATGCCTCAGGTCAAAAGACTAATTTGCATTATCCCAACCATGAGTTCTCATGTGACATGAATATGAGAACTCTTCGTTGATCGTGTTCAGTGAACTCATTCTCTATTGAGCACCTACGTACTTGTCTTGATGTCACACACACCAATGACTCGAGACTAGTCACTCTCCCTGAGAGAAGACATAGCACGTACTGATCTTAACGGACTGTCAATGCCCAATTGACAATCCTATGATCAGGAACGTTTAGGATGTGTCAACGAAAGAATGGTCTCATGAATCTAACTTCTTTATATCGCATTCTTCCAATCACATATTCCTTGGACTTATCGTTTAAGCATATAACATTTATATGAGACGGCTCAAACAATAATGTTTGCCCTTTAAACTACATTAGTTTGAAATGTCCGTAAAGTATCATCATATGATTGGTTTTAGGGCACATTTCCAACAATCTCCCACTTGCACTAGAGCCAATCAGCTTAGTCATCATTGATGATACCTCTTCTGTAATTCATTTCATAAATGGCTGAGTAGTAGGCCTAAACAATGGATATCTATATGTTATCCATAGAAGCAACCTTGAGAATAACGACGTCACCATTATACATGATTCTCAATCATGTGGTTCAGTCTCTCATTTGAGTTCGGACCTTGATGAGACCTTGATTCCCTGGCTTGAGCTATCGCCCCATTAGTGTCATACACTTTCTGGTTGGAACCGAATGAAGAGTTCATGAATGAACTTTCCCATCCAAACAACAATGTTGTAAGCTTCTATATGGCAATATATTTTGCATACATGATGGAACACATTAAAGTCATTTACTTTTAACGTTTCCACCCAAATATCTCTTTAGTCATAATAAAGAGATATCTCTTTATCACTTCATTCATAATGAAGAGATATTCTATGATGGATTAGATTCATAATCTAATACATTTACGCTTCCATTACGTTACTCTAATTCTTCCTCATTCTTGAGGAATCCATCCTTAGTATTTCTTAAATACCTAAGGATTCACTTGACAGTTGCCATGGTTCTGATCCTGGGCTTGCACTGATATCATCTTGTACCATTCTAGGTACGACTTATATCAATGTTTTCATACAATATGAAATACATAAATCACCTTTCTGCGTATGCATAAAGGATTCTATTTACGCATTATTTCTTTGGGAGTCAAAGGGTACATTCCCTTTGAGAAGAACAACTTCCTAGTCTCACTAGAATTGTCATTCTAATTGAAGTTTATCATCATATGAGAAACTTCCTAGCATCTCTTGTCTATTTTAGGGATTGATATAATCCAATTATATCTTGAAATCTATCATTATAGATTTCCATTCTATGTATATAGACTATGTCTCCCATATACATTCTATCATTATAGAATGTTTAAAGTCATAACTTTAACGATGAAGAATTCCTTTCATTTTCAAAATTAATATATATCATGTATGTATATTAAAATTTAGGAATATGATCAACTCCCACTAATCTTTTGTAAACCTAGTAAACAAAAGATTCATTTACATCTTTATGAGAAATCAAACAATTGATCTTTTCTCATAAGACGTTTATGGCTCCCACTAGCTTGCTAAGATCCATGATGGATGGATCTCTACAACTAACATGTCTTAGAAGTATATATCATATATATATGGGTAATTGATAATGTCCAACGAACTAAATCTTATTTATGTTCATTCTTCTCCTAATGAAGAAATTCATTATCTTATGATGCTACTTTCCTTGATATTTTTCAAGGAAATTAATCTAAAGTGTTACTTTTTCCTTGGATCAAATCTAAGGAGGTAAATACTTTAGACGTCTTACTCATCTACTTACATTTCTTGAATTCTTTGAAACCTTTTGCAAAGTATTCGGACTTGTGTTTATTCAAAATAAACTATAGTCCAACCAAGAGTGATCTTCGGTGAATGTCATACAACATGAGTAGTATTATGTTGTGGACAAGTGCCACTAACATCTAAGTGAATTAACCTCAACAACTTTGTGATTCTTTCTTCTTTCCAAAAGAATAAAGATTCGAACATTTCGCCTCTATACAATTTTAACAAGAAGGTATTGGATCCGGATCTAACGATCCAAAGCATCCATCTATGACCAACTCGTAACTTATGTTTTAGAGGTATCACAACTCAGTTGGGATTAGTCACTACCCTGCAACCTTTTGGGTTTTAAGCATCATCGTATTCTAAACAGTTAAACTACCATATCATCTCTACTATAGAGACAACCAATTAAATTACAATAATCTAATTATTGATTAATAAAGAACAATGTTTTTGTCAAACAAAACATTTATCCATCTCTACTATAGTGACGGATTTAAGTTCCTTAAAATTGGAATGTAAAGACAATCTTTAGTATTTTCCAATTTCTTTGGTAGTTCATATGAGGAAGTAAGTACAATCCGCTTTCGCAGAGATCTATATTTTATTCACTTTCCGAATGTGAAGTACTTTCTCTTCTCTCATTTAATCTTCTACTTCTTATTAGCACACTTTTACAACAATTGTAAAACATAGTTACTAATACGGAATCAAGCATTCAAGTAGAAGAACCAACTGTTTTGAACTATTTCAAGAACATATTACAACACCTTCGAAAAGTGTGTTCTTGACACTTGCAAGACATTTCTTGCAAATACCCCTTCCAATGTCCATCCTTTCATAAAGAAAGTTTGTTCCCTTGGAGTTATTTTGCCTTCTTCATTTGACTTCCCTTTTGATTACAATAGTCATGGTCCCTAAACTCCCACTATCTCTCTTGAAACTTGTTTCAAATGTGTTATACACATCAAACGATTTGGA